TTTTCAACCCCCTACCCGCCTTAGGTGGTGCCCACTGCCTTTTGATGGCACGTCAGGTTGAAATATTAGGAGAGCTGCTTGTTTCAACATTGCAGTCTGAGGATCCATTATCATTTTTCTCCTCTTCACCCTTTCCTTAATAGTTTCAAATTTTGGTTCAAATTCCTTGTTCTTTAAGAAAAATAATTTTTTTTTAAAAAAAAGAGAGATTGCTTTCTTCTTTAGGAATTACTCCTGCTCTGATGACCGATATTGTATGTTACTATAACTGAAAAATGTTATCAAGAAGCTAGTGGCCTCCTGGGGTGACCTGTCCCCAGGGCAATTGTCATTATTGTAACCAGGAAATAATCTAGCAGTCTTTTCTTCCTCTCCCTGTCACAAGATGGATTTTTTTTCTCCGAAGGCCAACTTGCCATGTTCGTGCTGTCTTTTCAAATGACCTACTATCTTTTGTTACCCTTTGAAACGTGAGAGAGTTGAAGTTGTGAAAAAATTAAGAAGGCCAGCTATTTTGTGAATTTAGCCTGAATTACAGATTGCTATGAGAGATGAAATCTGTTCTTTTTGCTGTGTATATTAAAGTGAGAAGTGCCAGCAAAAGCGATTTAGTGTAATGTATGTTGAAGAAAGCATTACACTAAATTATTGACTGTATCCACGGAAAGTGCTTATGGTTAATGAAGTGTTTATGGTGCTTTCATTGTAATCTTGTGTTCCATATTTGGTTCCTCTGTGAACCCTTTATTGATAATACTGATTTCTTCATTGATGATACAAAAAGGGAATCTCAAAGTCAAAATTTTTTCCCCTTTTAAAATAGTATCTTTGCCCTAGCCGGTTTGGCTCAGTGGAGTGAAGGCCTGTGGACCAAAGGGTCCCAGGTTAGACTCCGGTCAAGGGCACATACTTCTGTTGCAAGCTCCTCCCCGGTCCGGGCCCTGGTCAGGGCTCATGCAGGAGGCAACCAATCCTTGTGTTTCTCTCACATCAATGTTTCTCTCTGTCTTTCCCTCACTCTTCCACTCCCTAAAATCAATGGAAAAATATCCTTGGGTGAGGATTAAATAAACAAATAAAATAGTATCTTTATTCTTTTAAACTTCTTTAAGATTTAATTCTAGGTTTTATATGGGATTTTTTAGAAATATAGAAAAATCTATATAATAATGTATTTTATAATAGTGACAATTCCATGTAAGCATATGTAATATTATGTCATTATTATCATATAATAGGAATCTATCCATGTAAATGTAACAAATTTGAAGGTAATATGTAAAAACGACATATTTATTTCAGTTTTATTGAGATATAATTGACATATAGCACTGCGTAAGCTTACGGGGTTCAGCATAATGACTTGCCGTACCTATTTTGATGCAAAATGATTGCCACAGTAAGTTTAGTTGACATCCCTCACCTCATATGGTTCTAAAATAATTTTTTTCCTTCTGGTGAGAACGTTTACAGTCTACTCTCAGCAACTTTCAAATGTACCATACAGCACTGCTAACTGTAGATAAAGTCACCATGTTGTAGATTATACCCCCATGACTTATTTATCTTCTCACTGGAAGTTTGTACCTTTGGACCATCTCAAAGTAAATTTTGACTCTCTATTTAATACAATACAGTTCTTCTTCTTTTTTTTAAAAAATATATATTTTATTGAGTTTTTACAGAGAAGAAGGGAGAGAGATAGAGAGCTAGAAACATCGATGAGAGAGAGACATCGATCAGCTGCCTCCTGCACATCTCCTTCTGGGGATGTGCCCGCAACCCAGGTACATGCCCTTGACCGGAATCGACCCTGGGACCTTTCAGTCCGCAGACCGACGCTCTATCCACTGAGCCAAACCGGTTTCGGCCAGTTCTTCTTTTTGTATCATAATTGTAGCCTATCCGAAGCTGACCTAGTGAGTTGTAATGCTTCCTGTATTCCCTGCCTACAGGATGCTCAGGAAATACTAATAGTTTTAATCAAAAGGAAAACCGTCATTGTTTGGAAATTACATTTTCTGTATACTTGTTCTACATTGATAGCGGGAACTGAGTATGAGTACATTTTTTATGTAGCGCTTTCTAAGTAATACTCCTATGTAAAAATATTTTTTTGTTTGTGTGTGACTGGTGAATTTAATTTTAAATAACCATTTTTCAAAAACACATTTACACGAGTGGTGCATGAATCTCAGAGAAAATTTATAAAATGCAGACAAACATAAAATAAAACTCACAAATGACTCCACCGCCCAAATAAAACTATAGTTAACATTTTAGAGTATTGATTCATAATCCACTTCTTTTTTTTCTTAATTATTATTCCGTTTAATAAGACATGTTGAAAAGCCAGAGAGTATTTCTTCGTAGGGATTACCACAAGTTATCTATGCAATCCCACACTACTGGGTATTTAAGTGTCCAGTTTTTATGGTAAACAGTGCTGTAGGAAATTTTTTATTAGATTCTCGCAAGGGGGTAGGTTAGAAGTACGAGAAAACGGGTGTGAGGAGTGCTGCCAGGCTCACACCGCAGAGCCGAGGCCTCCGTCTTCCCTGTAGCCATCCCTCCTTTCACAGCACACATTGCTTTGCAGAGAAGCCTGGTTTTCGGCAATGCCTAACTGATGATTACGTTGTATTTGCTGCTGTAGGCCAAAGGATGCCGTAAAAGCTTTAAAGAAAAGGATTTCCAAAAACTACAATCATAAAGAAATCGAACTTACTTTGTCGGTAAGTACTTTCATGTTATCATTAAGACGCTAGGATTTCCCAAGCTGTAGTCACATTTTGATTCTGGGTTAAAAAAAATATATAGTTAATTTGCTAATTAATAGGTTAACAAAAAGTTATTTATAATTTGAATTAAAACTGCTTATTGAGAATTGCAGAATCAAGAGAGTTTAGTTGATTGTAATAGCATTTAATGTTGTGGAAAAAGTGTTCCTGGAAAGTTAATTTTTCTGGTCAGGAGATGGGAACTGGTGGTTAAACTTACAGGTACTGGGCTGGTCAAAAGTGTGTGTATATGTTACCCAGGGTGGGAATTAACGTCTTGGGAAAATGCTCCCCCGTTAGCTTTGTGTTGCACTTGAACACCTTTGTGGAATTCCAAGGTGCTGGCAGTTTGTTAAGATTCAGCCAAGTTCTGCTGCTTGTTACAGTGGGGAGACAGTTCTCTGTTGATATAAGTAGTTCTCCCGTGCACTGTATTGTCTGTGGATTGAGTATGCACACTTACGTGACCTGTAACCATTTCCCCCCCATCCTTGGCCATATGACCTCTTCAGTCACTTTGGTGAGTTGCCCTTTTTCCTTCGGGATGTTTGCAAGCCTTGCCTGCTGCCTGAGCGTGAGCTGTGTGGCTTTCTGATTTCTTCTGCATGCCTTTGGACCTCAGCCCAGCCAGGCCACGCATGGTTGTGGCACTCATCAGCCAGCATCACACTGCTCTTAGGGCCTCTGGGGGTGATTAGAGGGCCACGGGGCAGAGGTGAGCACAGCTCCCGTTTCCTGGTTTCATGGGAAAGAAAACATCTCATATTTTGCTTACCTGGAGAGTAGCTGAATGAGAAAAGTCTTAATGATGCTTTCACTAAAGAAATTCTTTGGTTAGGAGCTGATATCGTTTTTCTTTTTTCTTTAATCCTCACCTGAGAACATGCTCAGAGAGAGGAAGGGGGAGGGAGGGAAGGAGAGAGAGAAAGAGAGAGGTGAGAGAAACATTGATTGGTTGCCTCCCATATACTCCCCAACTGGCGATCAAATCCACAACCCAGGTATATGCCCTGACAGGAATCAAACCAGCAACCTTTCAGTGCATGGGACAACACTCAGTCAACTGAGCCACTCGGGCTGGGCTGGGACTGAGTGTAGTTTTAGAGGCATTTTCCTCTTTCTCCATTTTTTGCTTTTTTACTTTTCCCTTGTCCTTTACCCATAGCAGCCACCTCAGGGAGGTCACAGAATGGAGGGAACTCTGGAGGAGGGAGGCACTTCAGTAGAAATAGCTGTACAATGGGTCGATGATGGAAATTAGCCTTTGCCTGATACCTGATTGATGCTCTGGACAACCCTGTGAAACAGGTGTACTATTAACTCCATTTCACAGGTGAGGAAACTGAGACCAGTGAGATTAAGTGATCCCCCACACCCCCCCCGCCCAAGATTTAAGTAGCATGTCCTCAGAGTCTAAATTCCATGCCCATGCCCATACCATCTTGTTTCTCAGGACAAATCGTGCCCGTTGAAAGAATGGGCTACTATATATTTTTTTTCGTGTCCTCAAATGTTTTATATTTTTCCAATATTTTGTATTGGTTCCAGGTGTATGTACAGCTTAGTAGTTAGACAGTCACATACTTTACAGTGTTCCCCCCCATATTTCCAGTACCCCACTGGGTCCTGCATAGTGATTACAATGTTATTGACTGTATTCCCTATGCTGTACTTTACATGCGTGTGACTATTTTATTTCATTCATGTTTTCAAGTCCTTCATGCAGGGCCATCTATCATGTATCACTTACTGATGTTGACTTAATGGTTTCGTGCCCACCCCCAATACCACCTCTCCTAGTAGTCAAGAACACTCAAGGGCTAACAGAAGGGACTGTAGAATTCGGGGAGAAACACATGTAGTTTTGGAATGAAGTGGATCTAGAATAGCTCCAGGCCACCAAAGGTTAAGAAACTTGAGTGAGGAAAGTGAGGTCAGAAGATGAATTTATGCCACTTTCTATATTTCAGCATGTGGTAATTATTTCACCTTCTGACAGAAGTTTATCCTCTGTAATGAGCCAGCCTCTTCTCTATTGTACCCAGCCTACTTGACCTGTCTATGGTTGTTTCTTTTCTCCAGCTCCATATCTCTCCATCGTGGTTCCTTCCTTCTGAGGATGAACCGGGACCCACCCCTGAGGAATCTGGGTTATTCCACACTGTTGTTTCTTCTTACCCTTCAGAGCCTCCATTTCACTTTGGGTTCCCCTTTCTCCCCTTCAGGTTGTCTGAGCTCTCAAGCCTTACTCCCAGCTAGCTGTCTGTTCCTATTACCTATTCCCTCTTGGGTAACTGTACTTCCTCCACCTCATGATTTCCACACCAGTACCGGAGAACAAATGAATCTAAAACCTGTGCCAAAATAAGGGCGAGAGTCACAGATTGGGGGGCAGGACAGCCCCTCCTTGTGAAGGTCCGAGTTCACTAGGGTACCTGCTTCTTGCATTTCCTTTACATTAGCTTTTGCCTCTTGATAGCTTCTTGCAGATTTCCCCAAGTTGTCTGTTTAGTGGCCCAATCACCTCCCCTCAGACTACTCACTGCATTGCAGAGGTGTGCTGAAGGCATCGGGACTGACTTTTAATATTGTTAAGCCAGACTTGATTGTGACAGGAATTAGTCACTCAAGGCAGCATCTAATGTGCACCAAAGGCAATTTGATGTTTACCAATAAACTCTTTAAAAATGAATCCTCATAGGTGACCTTTCCATTTGATTACTATGAAGTGAAGAGAGAGTGTCGATGTCAATCATAAATGTTCCTGACACCATCCAACGTTTGGGTTCCCCATGGACTTCTAAGCCTTGACCAGGTCTTCCCTGGGATATGGCGAGACGGTGATTTCCTACCATCAGTTGGTGGAGCGGTTTTGTCAAGAAGCCAGTCGTTCTGTTTTTAAGGAAGCATTTTGTTACCAGGCTTTATAACTCTTAGGCCAGCCTTTTCTCCGATGAGTCAATAGTCTCAGCAAGATGCTGTTGTCAAATGGAAAGTGGTTGGACAGATTCCTAGGAGCCAATTAATTCATAGGCCTTTGTGGAGCACACCCTGGGTGGAGAGCTATGGGGGCTTCAGGGTAAGTGCCAAATGTGTTTACTCTAACTCCAGGAGTTTGTTGTAGAGTGAGCTCAGCCCCTAGGGTGGCCAGGCCTTGGGGTGGTCTTCGTCAGCTCCGGATGGCCCCAAAGCCTGGTTTTCTGTGCTTGGATTAGTCACTGTGAGAACTAAAACTACCAAGTAGCTTTTTTTTCTTCAAGCTTCTGGGAAAAGAATACTTCTATCAGCTAACCAGCACATTCTCTCCTGATGGAAAATTACGCATGGAAGCAGGGGTTCAAGATAGTTACCATTTAAACAAACAAAATAGAAACAGACTCATGGACACAGAGAACAGACTGACAGCTGTCAGGAAAATTGGGAGGCTGGGTGAAATAGGTGATAGGGTTAAGAAAAGCAAAAACAAAAAACCCCCCGCATAGACACAGGCATCATGGTGAGTACCAGAAAGGAAGGTGGGGTGCGGGCGGGTAGAAGAGGGTAAGATGGGGATAAATGGTCATGGAAGGAGACTAGAGTTTGGGTGGTGAATACACAACACAATATATAGATGAAGTATTAAAGAAGTGTACACTTCAAACCTATATTATTTTATTCACCAATGTCACTCCAATAAATTCAACACAATTATTTAAAAAATAGTTACCGTTTACTAAGGTCCTACCATGTGTCCTGACTCCCCAAAAAGCCTGTCCGCTAAGCCAGCAATTTTTCAACTGGTGTGCCACAAGCATTTTTAAAACATGCAATTCCTGACTATTCAGCGGGGGCTTTCCCCTTAGATTGTCAAATAAAAAAATGACAACAGCCAACACAATAATAGCCATCTGGTGTGAATTCCCTGTCTTGAACCAGAAGTATATAAGTCATATAATAAAGTTGCATCTTATTGGTCATGTCTCATAATAAGCTTACATCTGATTGGTTAATTCTTGGTACCAGAAATTCGTAGATGCAAGTATAGTCACCTGATTTTTTAAAAGTCACTTTGGAGCAAAAAGGGTAGGTAATTACTGTTATTTTTTGTAAATCAATGAAAATTATACCTATTTTTGTCAGATTGGCAAAAAACATATTGTTTTGGTATTCCACAGAATTTTGACAGTTTATGTGTGCCATTAGATGAAAAAAGGTTGAAAATCACTGCTCTAAGCAGTTACACTATGCCTTATACTTTGTTGCATTCCCTGGAACCTAACATTTTGCCGTATGTTTTAGTAGACACTACTAAAGAGAATGCTGGTAGAAATTGTTACTTAGCAATTTTCACTTCATATTTAGGAAGTGGTTGTGTACCAAAGAAATTTACCATTTAACTTTTTTCTTCTAATTTAGCTTATTGACATGTGCATGCAGAACTGTGGTCCAAGTTTCCAATCTCTGATTGTGAAGAAGGAGTTTGTTAAAGATAGCCTAGTTAAGCTGCTGCAACCCAGATACACCTTGCCACTAAACATTCAGAATAGAATTTTGAATTTCATTAAGGTAAGTCTATTGTATACCTGATGGGATGGAACACTTCTACAATTAGAGATCTCATTACATACCAATTGGTTTCGTCATCCTTCACAAACCTCTGATGGAGCCAGACAGCATTTTACTGTTGGATTTTCTGTGTAATGATAATTTTTTGGTATTGGATGGTGCTTTTTATCCAAGAGAATTTGTAGTCATTTTCCTGCTTTCTCTCTGGTTTCTATTTTCTCCATGTCAGGTAGGAAAGAGAGTGATGTGTACATTCATTTTGCAGATATGAAAACTATGTCTGGAGAAGATAACTGATTGCTTACAAAGTTATTTGGCAAATACTGTTGCTGCTTTAGAATATGTGTATTAATTCTGGATTTGGTACAGCAAAAAATAATAATATATATTCCTGGGTTTCATTAAAATGTTGAGGCAGGCGAGTCTGATGATTAATCATATTATATTTTTATTTTTAAAAAATGTTTTTATTGATTTAGGAGGGGAAGGGAGAGGGAGAGAGATAGAAATACCAATGATGAGAGAATCATTGATCGGCTGCCTCCTGCACAGCCCACACTAGAGATCAAGTCTGCAACCCGGACGTGTGCCCTGACTGGGAATCGGACCGTGACCTCCTAGTTCATACTCCTGGTCAACACTCAACCACTGAGCCATGCTGGCCAGGCTTAAACATATTTTATATTATCATTCTAGTCTCTGAAAATGTACAGTTTGTCCTTGGCCTTCAAAAGTAGCTTTCTCTTTCTGAGTAAAGCCCTTAATTGCCAATCTCTCATTTTCGGTCGCCAGCTTAAGAATTGTGTTCTGTGTTTGCTGTTGTTTTCAGACTTGGTCTCAGGGTTTCCCAGGAGGTGTGGATGTAAGTGAGGTGAAGGACGTGTACCTTGACCTGCTTAAGAAAGGTGTTCACTTTCCTCCCTCAGAGGCAGAGGCGGAAGCAGCAGAACAAGAGGTAGGGGGTCTTTTCTTTGACTCACGTAGAGTAAGTTAGTATGTGACATGGTTTTTTTCTCACTGAGAGGGGCAATCTCAGCTCTATTCAGGTTAAGCAAGAAGAAGACTGTATTAGAAGGATATTGCAGCATGTCCTAGAATAATGAAGCCACAACAGGTTGGTGTTAGCTGGATCTTTTGAACAACCAGGGACCCAGCTCTCAAATGCCTTGTTTCTTGTCTGCTTCTAGATCAGGGGTGGGCAAACTTTTTGACTCGAGGGCCACCATGGGTTCTTAAACTGGACCGGAGGGCCGGAACAAAAGCATGGGTGGAGTGTTTGTGTGAACTAATATAAATTCAAAGTAAACATCATTACATAAAAGGGTACCGTCTTTTTTTTTTTTTTTTTTTTTAGTTTTATTCATTTCAAACGGGCCGTAGTTTGCCCACGGCTGTTCTAGATGTTCCTCTGGTCACCAGCTTCATTCCTCTCTCTCATTGCAGAACAGCTCCTTCCATATAGCAGATAACAGAGCTCCCAGTTTCCCATGTGATTGCTTTAGCATTTTTCAGATTCCAAGTTTAAAAAACACACACACAAACTGGGAGAAGGAGGCTCCGTGAACCAATCTGGGCCAGTTTTCGATTTCGGCACAACTCAACTGAGTTCATGTAAAAATATGATATGTTGGCTCCAAATAGGAATCATTTCCTATAGTAGAGGAGAGGGCAGCTTTCAAACAAAAGGTCTTGGTGCTAGACAACGGTCTTTACCTTGGGGAGCTTTATAATATATCTATTGTTTATTATTGATACTGTGTCCATGAGAGAGTTTCTAGATATTCACATGTATTCTCAAGTTTGCAAATAATTTCCAAAGCGTTGAACTACAACACTTTGAATGGCTGATTAAATTCACCTACCTTTCCGTGATTTCTACAATGCAGAAACAGCATTCCTGGCCCTCCTTAGACTGGTGAGTCTTATCTTGGTGGAATAAGCAATACCACAAGTCTTATCTTTAAGGAGGCTCTGCCCGGAGGGCCAGCTCTTCTCCTTGTGTGGCCATGCGCCTTTCGCCCCATTCTTTCACCTGCCCAGGAGCCTGCTCATCAGACCCCTTTTGCTCTTCCACGGCACAGTGTGGTCATGGCCTAGATAGAACCTTGCTACTTACTCAAAGTGTGATTTGGGTTATCATCTTTAGTTTATCCTCGACTAAATCAGAGGCTCATTTTTGCAAGGTTTCCAGGTGACTTCTCTGCACATTCCTGTTGAGAAGCACTGGCCTCAAGCCCTGAACTTGGGCTCTCCATCCGGGGTTGGTAGTGGAGCATGGACTCAGAGAGGTCCATTGGTGGAAAAAGAGATGCCTCGCCAACTGTGGCTTCAAAAGACTCCACACGAATTGATTTACCCTTTGTTTGTAACGACCCGAAAGAGGAGAGCAGCAATCTCACAGGGCAGTTTGTCTTGTAGACCCTTGGTAAAAAAAATCTAAGAGCATTTTATTAAATTTTAATTCCGTTAATAATCATAATAGCCACCTTCTACTCACTCTATTATGCCATTTGCTTAACACTGTTCTCAAAATGTGGGCAGGTTCAACACTTGATGATCGACTCTGGGCTGACACTCTCTAAACTTGGATTTTGGCTGAGAGAAAGTGATGGAGTCATCTGAATGGAAGAAAAAAAAACTGGGCTTGCGTTGTTTATGGTCATAAATGTTAAATAATAATCTTTCCGTATTTCATCTTGACAGACTGCTCAAGTCTCATCAAATCCACCCACATCTGTTCCTACTGCACCGGCTCTTTCTTCCGTAATTGCTCCCAAGAATTCGACTATTACATTGGTCCCAGAACAGGTAACAGAAGCAACAACTGAATGTATTGATGACTTTTTCTAAGTTCTGAGCAGTTGGTATACATTTTGTTTATTCTTTTTCACACCGTTATGAGGTGGGGGTACATTGTTACCCTCATTCTGCAGGGGAGGGGGCTGGAGCTTAATGATACTGTGTGATGCATCATGGGTCAATTCTAAGTGCACTTAAGCCCACGGATTCTGTCTGACCCTAAAGTCCAAGCTCTGAACAGTTCTGCTTGGCTAGTGGCTTTTGTGTCTTTGTGGAAGTTGAGCTGTGAAATGGACCTTGTGCCAACTAGCTGATTGTTACTGGTTTTGATTAGGACTGTCCAAACACCATTTCAGAAACCTCAGTACATGATAGTCTTATTAGGAGTATTTATTGTGCTAACTGAATTACACTTACTTGTTTGTCTCTGTATCTGTTTATCAGAGGTCCAGATGAGCAATTATTATACAGGATGGGGCAAAAGTAGATTTACAGTTGTTGTTATAGAAAATAATACAATAAATAATAATATAAGAAACTCACAACTGTAAACCTACTTTTGCCCTACCCCATATGAAGCTCTTTTCTGTGCTGCTTTAAGGGAACTATTATTGAAGACTTTGTAGTAGTATTATTCTGTATTACATAAAAATGTATGGAGCCCTAGCCAATTTTGCTCAGTGGATAGAGCGAATGAAAGGTCCTGGGTTCGACTCTGGTCACGGGCATGTACCTTGGTTGTAGGCTCAATCCCTGGCCCTGGTTGGGGTGCATGTGGGAGGCAACCAATCAATGTGTCTCTCTCACATTGACGTTTCTCTCTTTCTGTCTTTCCCCCTTCCTTCCAGAAATCAATGGGAAAAATATCCTCAGGTGAGGATTTAAAAATAAAGAAATAAACACAAATAAATAACACTACCCTTTAAAAAAATCCATACAGTTAATTTCTCTTAGAATTTAATCCAGGAAGAGAAAATAAAGTGTTTCTTGATTCTTCCTTCCCTAATACCATGAGAACTGTATCACCTTCCCCACCCCCCTTTTTCCATCAGTTGCCAAGAAACCCAGGGTAACATTTTCCATTTTGTCCAGGTCCCTGGTATAGTCACTTTCCCCCTTCTCCATATTGTTCCTAATTGGATTTTCCCCCTTCATTTTTAACACTCCTGGGAAATATTTTTGGATTTATTACAAGCGATCTTTAAGTCCTTATAGGTGACAGAAGATACATTTGCAAAATGTGTGTGTATATATATATATATATATTTGACAATATTAAATTTTACAAAGAGCATTTTTCCTCCCAGCAAGGGTCCCCTGAGAGAAGGAAACAAGGGGTCCCACATATTGACCGGTGACTGTGTTGCTCTCAACAGATTGGCAAGTTGCACAGTGAGCTGGACATGGTGAAGATGAATGTGAAAGTGATGTCCGCCATCCTGATGGAGAATATTCCTGGATCTGAGAACCCTGAAGACATGGAGCTTCTGCAGGTGAAATATGGTTTCAGGGACAATCAGTCCAAGTGTCTCTTACAATTATTCTCTAAACTTGGAGCCTTGGAAATAGAAGATGCCTTAACATTGTCTACCAGTCCATCCTCCTGCGTCATCCATTGATTTCTAAACTTAGCAAAAAAAGGTGCAAGGGTGGCTTTTTCAGGAATGCACTAGTAACTTACACATGCTCCTGGCCTTTTTGCAACAAATAACTTACCATCATTTACTCATTCATAGCCTTGCTCACATGAACTCTCTTACTCGTCTCTAATAGTTTCAAATGCGCAAACGTTGGCTCTATATTGAGCCATTCAACAAACATTGAGTAACTACAATGTGGTAGAAGACTCAGACATTGACGCTGTCCTAGCCCTCAAGGAACTTATGTCTGATGAACATGATGGTGTTGTAAACAAAATTTAATAAAGTGTTATTGATGCCAGGATAGAAATGTGTTTACCATATAGTGGGATGAGGGTTGGGAGCAAGGAGAAGGGTGAGGTTTTTGG